ACATACATTCACACACACACACACACACACACAAGGATACTCTCTGTCAGACACACTCTCAGGCATATACACAGGTAAACTGTGCATCAATGTATATATGTGACAGTGTGCATATATTGCAACTCTGCAAAAACTCAGCAAAATTGCTATTTTTTTTTCACTTTTGTGTTAGTGGGGCCTCATGTTGAGTTTCGCCTAAGGCCTTATTGTCACGATTCGGGAACCTAACATGCTAACAGGTCACAGAGAGGAAGGGTGCTATACCGGTCCTTAGAGTGGCCGGGCTAAGCACACTAAGAATGGTCAAGAGACAAGCCAAGTAAAGGGAGCCAGAAAACGGGAGAACGAGAAACAAGCGAGGTCAAAGGAGTGGAGAAGACAGGATAATCGGAATAACGAGCCAAATAATCGGAAACCAGAGAGCAACACGAGAGAACAGCACTACAGGTATCACAAGACCATAACAGGGCACTGAGGGACAGGAAAGGTAAGTATAAATACCCTTGGTTTAATTCTGATTGGATAACTTCCAATCAGAATTAACAATCACACGTGGGGGATATCTATACCTCCCACTGTGATTGTGGTACTGTTTCTTTAACGCCGGGTCACTCATGTGACCCCGGCGTTTGCATAATTCAGTGACCTCCCAGCGTGCAGCGTTATACATGCTGCCGCTGGGGGGTGTGGAGGACGCGAGCGGCGAGCGGCAGAGAGGAGACGCAGCTTGCCGACAGGTAAGAGGAGGGGAGAGCGAGGGCGGCGACGGACTGAGGGTGAGTGCTGCAAGTGGCGTGCAGCCTCCCCTCCTAGCCGCCCGCGGATCCCTGACACTTATAAAGTCTAGAGCCGCCTCTGGTGGCCTGTCTAGTGTTTTTGAAGAGCTGCCCTTCTCTTATGAAGCCCACTTGGTCAGGGTGGATCAGGCCCCACATCAGTGGGTTCAGTCTCCCGGCCAAAATGACTGCAAACAGTTTTGCGTTTATAAGGGATATTGGTCTATAGTTACCCATCTCCTCACCTGGTTTGCCTTCTTTGGGTAATAGGGAGATGTTGGCTAGTTTTGTGTCGTCTGTGAATGGTGTGCCCCTTTTCACTATGTTAAAGAGAGTAGTCAGGTGTGGTACTAGTAATTTGCTAAAGGTTTTGTTAAATCCTCCACTGAATCCATCGGGGCCCGGGACCTTGGAGCTCTTTAGGGCAGCAAGCGCTGCTTGGATCTCATCTGGGGCAAAGTCGGATTCTAGGGTGAGTTTCGATCCTTCGGTGAGTGCTGGGAGTTTTAGAGAGGCAAGGAAAGTTTCCAGGTCTGCCCTATTTTCTGGGTCAGCTAGAGTCTTAGATTATAGAGTTTGGTGAAGTATTCCTGAAAGGCCAGGTGAATCTCCCGGGGGGTCGTGACCACATCTCCCTTTGTAGTCTTTATAGGTTCCCGGGGCGTTCTAGGTTTTAATCCCCTCACTAGGAGAGAGTCCATTTTGTCGCTCTTTTCATAGAAAAACCGCCTGGACCAAAGTAGGTGTTGGACCATGTCCTCTAAGAGGGTGTCTTTAAGCGAGTGTCTGGTTGCGTTAAGTTGAGCCAGAATGGCCGTGGAGGGTCTTGTGTGTATTTTCTAGTCAACGTAAGGTCTCCTGTAGTTCCCTAAGGTTTTAAGTTTTGAGGCATTTCTTATGGGTCGCTACTTTTATGAAATGAGATATGTTTTCTGAGAAAAATGTCATAAGTGTTCGGGATGTTTCAGCTACTGTCTGACTATCTTGCAAGAGGGAGGTGTTCAGCCTCCACATCCAGTTGGAGTTGACGTTTGGGGCTGTCAAAGAGATCGCTATGTCCGCATGATCCGACCAAGTGATCAAACCAATATCCGTAGATTGGACCGATCTCATCAAAAGATCACACTCAAGACAAGGTGCTGCAGCAACTAAAGAAAGTTAATATAAACAAAGCTCCAGGGCCTGACGGTATCCATCCACGTGTACTTAAGGAACTAAGTGCAGAAATAAGTGAACCTCTGTTTTTAATCTTTCAAGATTCTTTTCTTTCAGGAAGTGTTCAGGAGGATTGGAGGAAGGCAGATGTGGTTCCTATATTCAAAAAGGGTTCAAAATCCTTGCCTGGAAATTATAGACCTGTGAGCTTAACTTCTGTGGCTGGTAAAATATTTGAAAGTTTATTAAGGGATAATATTCAAGAATTCCTTGAGAAGAACATGGTTATCAGCAAAAATCAGCATGGTTTTATGAAGCACAGGTCATGTCAAACTAACTTGATTGCGTTCTACGAAGAAGTAAGTAGAAGTATAGATCAGGTGTTGCCGTGGATGTGATCTTTTTGGATTTTGCCAAGGCATTTGATACAGTTCCACACAATAGATTAGTGTTCAAACTCAAGGAAATCGGTCTAGATGAAAATGCTTGTTCTTGGGTAGAACATTGGCTTAAAAACAGAGTACAAAGAGTTGTCATTAATGGTAAATTTTCAAGCTGGACAGAGGTGGCAAGTGGTGTCCCTCAGGGGTCTGTTCTGGGACCCCTTCTATTTAACATGTTTATAAATGATCTTGAAGACCGCATTGAAAGTCATGTTTCAGTGTTTGCAGATGACACCAAACTTTGTAAAACAATACAATGTGAGCAAGATATTACTTTGCTGCAGAGGGATTTAGATAGACTGGGAGACTGGGCACTCAAATGGCAGATGAAATTTAATGTTGAAAAATGCAAAGTTATGCACTTTGGCGTAAAGAATACACAAGCAACGTATACCCTTAATGGAAGCGAATTAGGGATAACAACACATGAAAAGGACTTGGGAATTGTTATAGACAACAAACTATGCAACAATGTGCAATGTCAATCAGCAGTGGCCAAGGCCAGTAAGGTATTGTCATGCATGAAAAAAGGCATTCATTCTCAGGACAAGAATATAATTTTGCCTCTTTATAAATCACTGGTAAGACCCCATATTGAATATGCTGTGCAATTTTGGGCACCTGTTCTAAAGAAGGATATTATGGCACTAGAAAAAGTGCAGAGGCGGGCTACAAAATTAATAAAGGGAATGGAACATATCGGCTATGAAGAAAGGTTAACAAATTTAAACCTATTTAGTTTAGAAAAACGTCGCCTGAGAGGGGATATGATAACATTATACAAATATATTCGGGGCAATACAAACCATTGTGTGGAAATCTATTCACAAACCGGACTTTACATAGGACACGAGGCCATGCGTTTAGACTGGAAGAAAGAAGATTTCGCCTAAGGCAAAGGAAAGGTTTTTTTACTGTTAGAACAATCAGGATGTGGAATTCTCTGCCTGAGGAAGTGGTTTTATCAGAGTCCATACAGATGTTCAAGCGGCTACTAGATGCATACTTGCAAGAACAGAATATTCAAGGATATAATCTTTCAATGTAGGGTAATAACTGCTTGATCCAAGGATAAATCTGACTGCCATTCTGGGGTCAAGAAGGAATTTTTTTCCTAACTTGTTGCAAAATTGTGCTTCAAACTGGTTTTTTTTGCCTTCTTTTGGATCAACAGCAAAAAACAAATGTGAGGAAGGCTGAACTTGATGGACGCAAGTCTCTTTTCAGCTATGTAACTATGTAACTATGTAAAAGGGGGTTGACTAGGAACATGTCGATGTGGGAATAGCTGCCATGGGGTACAGAATAAAAGGTGTAGTTGCGGGTTCCAGGGTGCAGGAGTCTCCATGCATCCAGCAGGCCGGATCTCCACAAAAACCCATCTAGCAACTTATCCTGTCCCCCCAAACTGTGTGAACGCTGGAGTCCTGGCCTTGTCCCCCTGTAGATCCCAGGAAATAGTGCTGCACTGAAGTCCCTGCCCATGAGAAGGAAGTTGTGTGCCCTAGACTGAACCAGAGGGAGGAGGGACTCGAAGAAGTGAGGGTCATATCGATTTGGTGCGTAAATTTTGAGGAAATAGTATGTGCGACCGGCCAGTGTGCCAGTGAGGAGTATGTGCTGTCCATCCTGACTATAGATGCAGTAAGATACCGTTAAGGGGCAGGTTTTCCGCAGTAAGATTGCCACACTGTTTTGTTTTCGTAAGGAGCCAGAGAGGTAGGTTCTGTCAAATGTGTGATCAGGGAGCCTGAGGTGGGAGGACTTAGGGATGTGTGTTTCTTCTATAAAGGCTATATCAGCCTTTTGTCATTGTATTTCTCTCAGTAAGAGCCTCCGTTTCCGAAGGGCTATTCAGACCTTTGGCGTTGGTTGAGACAATTTTTAGAGTCTTAGGATGTGCCATGGTGTAGTGGAGTCCTGCAGGGTGCCATTTGGTATAAGGGTATGCTTATGGCGAAGTTGACACAATTCCTCCATTATGTGTCCGACCCCATTTACATAACAAGGAGGGACAGCCAACTGAAGGCAAGTGTGGTCCCTCCAGCACATACTTGTTTGATTTGTACCGTAATCTTAAAGGCAATCTATATAGAGCACACTCCAGGGAGCTAGATCACTAAGAATCACTTTACCATATGGGTGTTTTTGTTTTTTTCTTTGAGTAAGGTGTTTTCTGTTTGTTTGCTTTTTTGTGGGGGGGGTTTTCTCCTTTTTTATAAGGTGCTTTCTGTTGTTGTTTTTTTTTGTAGACTGTGTAGATTGTGCCCCAATGGTAGGTAAACCACTTTTGACCCTATCCAAGTCCACCTGAAACCTGAAAAACATGACTCTGGGTATGGTGTCAGTCCCAGTTCACAGGAGCCCCCAGCAATCCCTGTCCCCTGCTCAGAGGGGGTCTAACAGGCCAGGCCTCCCTTAGTGACAGAGGCTCTAACTGTGGCCGTGTAGGGCCAGGTCTGGTGTAGTGGCCTCTGCTCCTTGTGCCACGTGGCGTTGGAGAAGGGGGGTAGTAGAAAAAAGGAAGGGGGTGGCCCAAGAGGCCCCACCATGGGAATGGGACCAGTATAGGCCGCCCGCACACCCCATGGAGCCCATGGTTTCCCCCTGTCTTCGGGGTCCCCCGTCAGGAAAACACCGTCAGGGAAACCCCATTCTGTGGTCCCCAGCACCCCCAACGCCCAAAGCTAACCTTCCTCCCATCTGTGCTGTCACTCTCTGTGGATTCTATCGATCTCCCATATGTTGTCATGTAAGTCGGGGGACAGAGGGCGCAGAAGGCCAATAACCAGCTCTTTAGATCGCCATCGCCGGCTCCCTCCGGGATGGCCTGCAGGCGGAGATAATTCTGGTGGGACCGGTTGGGCAGGTCCTCCACCGTAAACTCCAGCTCTGCAATTCGATGTTGAAGCTCCAGGGTGTAGTCGGCCAGGTGATTGTGAGCCGTCACCACCATCTCCACCCTCTCCTCCAGCTCGGCCATCCGTTGCCCCATTTAACGGACTTCAGCTTTTAACTCCCCGGTGCTTTGGGAGATCACCTGGGTGAGGTAGGATTAAGGTCACCTATGTGGCGCAGGAACCCCTCAGAATCCACCGGCTGTGACATCCAGAGCGGCTTCACTCACCGGGGAGCCCTTTGTCTTGGGCGCCATCTTGCGAGCTCAGTCGAGGCCTGCTGGTAGGAGCAAGGAGGGTGCCTTGGTAGGGGGCGCCGGCCCCCCTCATGCTGCAGCCGCCCAAGCATTCTGTAGAGAGCCTCAGGCGGCTGCAGCTTTGCCCGCCCGGGCACAGTCTGAGGAGAGGGGCTGACAGGAGGGAAGTGCTCCTGTCACTCCCTCACTGTAGCGTGGCCAAGCCCTGTATCATGGTCCACGGGTACAGGAAGCATCTGTCTCCTGTACCCGGCCAGACTAACAGGAAGTACACACTCAATGTGCACTTTCTTTTAGTCCGGCCGGGTACAGGAAACAAAAGCTCCCTGTACCCGTGGACCATACAGAGCTCGGCCACGCTACAACAGTGGTAGAGGGGGGGATAAAGAAAGAAATTGGGAGGGGGGATAAAGAAAGATTGGGAGGGGGGATAAATAAAGATGGGGGGATAAAGAAAGAAATTGGGAGGGGGAGAAGGAAATTGGAGAGGGGGCGATAAAGAAAGATTGGGAGGAGGGGATAAATAAAGATTGAGAGGGGGAGAGAAGGAAATTGGAGGGGGGAGAGAAGGAAATTGAAGGGGGGAACAGAAGGAAATTGAAGGGGGGGAGAGATTGACATTCATCACACACAATGCACCCCTTGCACACAGAAAAACACACAATGCATTACACACACTGCATTACACACACAGACACACATTCACAAGCAATGCAACCGTTACACACAATGCATCCCTTACACACACAGAAACACACAATGCATTCATTACACACACTCAATGCACCCCTTAAACACACTCAATGCATCTCGTACATACACAGAAACACACCTTGCAGCCCTTACACATACAAACACAGATTCACACAATGCATTCCTTACACACATTTCAGGACATCCCCTACACACTCCACCCCCTGTGAACAAACTCATTGGTGGAACATGAAGGTGGACCCTGCGACCGAGACCTTGAGCTGTGTAAAGGGCCCCCAAACAATGGAGCTGCTTCCCGTTCTCCCAGAACATTGATTTTTGTGACCACAGTTACAAACCGCCTCCAGAGAGCCTGTTCTACACCAGACCAGTGGAGCCAGACTGCAGCTAAAGCCCATCATCATCCTCATCTGGTTGTAAGTAGGCAATCTAGTATATTATTCGTGGCACTAAGCTCTAATTTACCTCACATTAAAGAAACACTATAGTCCCCAGAACCACTGCAGCTTAATGTAGTGGTTCTGGTGTCTATAGCCTGTCCCTGCAGGCCTTTTAATGTAAACACGGCGGCACTGTGTTTACGTTAGATAACATGGCAAATCATATGGGTGGAGCATTGTGATGTCACATGGAGGGGGCGGAAAACTTTACTTTTGCCTAGGGCAGCAAAAATCCTTGCACCGGCGCTGGCTGGAGTGGGCAGTGTGAGCTGTGGCCGCACAGTGCCCCATGGTAGTTAGGGTGCCATGCGGCCAGTTCAGCTCACACAAGCAAACAGCTGATAAACTGGCCGCACGGAGGAAAAGTGGGGCGGAGCTAAGCAAAATCGGGGGCAGGGACCAACTGGCACTGGGGGAGGGGCTTAATATTGCCCTTTCCCACTGCTGTTAGGAGGTGCAGCAAGATGGAATCTCTGCTTCTAAACAGGCTTCAGAGAAGGACTTCATGGAATCCAGTCCTCCTCCATCCCACTGTCTGTAAGTAAGAGTGTGTGTGTGTGTGAGACTGTCTGTGTGTAGCTGTCTGCCTGTAACTGTGTGTGTGTCTGTGTGTAGCTGTATGCCTGTAACTGTGTGTGTATGTGTGTGTGCGTGTGACTGTCTGCCTGTAACTGTGTGTGACTGTCTGCCTGTAACTGATTGTGTGAAAGTCTACCTGTAACTGAGTGTGTGACAGTCTGCCTGTAACTGAGTGTGTGACTGTCTGCCTGTAAATGTGTGTGTGGGGCTGCAGGGATTTTGTAGAAGGGGGCAGGGGTTTTGTATTGGGACAGGAGTCTTTATAAGGAGGGATAAGCAGGGGATTTGTGGAAGGGGGTTGCGGGGGTTTTGTAGACGGGGCAGTACAGGATTTGTAGAAGGGGCAGGACAGAGGTTTTGTAGGAGGGGCGGGGCAGGACAAGGGTTTTGTAGGAGGGGCTGACAGCGGTTTTGTAAAGTTTACAAATTGTTTGGGTTTTTTTTGGGTGGAGGGGGAGGCAAGGGGGTGCCAAGCACAGGATCCGCCTCGGGTGCCAAATGCTCTAGGTATGCCCCTGGGTTTCGGTTTTGGTTTTTGTGGGTTTTTTGTAGCCATTGTAACAAACCACCTCTTTTACAGGTAGGATTGTCACAGATCTTGCAGTAACTACAGCCTTCTAGGGTATACAAAGTCCAGGACACATTCAGCTCAGTTTTCCTTTTTATTTGATAAAAAGCAGGTGCTTTAAATAATAACAAACAAACAAAATCCCTTGCTCTTACTTGAGCTCTTACTAGACAGGAATTACTATCTGTAATTGGGTGGCTTACCCACTTACCAATTTTCCAAAAAAAAGAAATGGCTTTGCAATAAACGTTGTTGTTGTTGTTGTTGTTGTTGTTGTTGTTGTTGTTGTTGTTGTTGTTGTTGTCTCTCCTAGCTGGCTTTTTCTCCCCCACTCTGCAGCAGGCTGATCTCTTCTTTTAAAGGCCTGTCTGCTAATTGACTAGCTACAGGTGAGTGCCAATTAGTAAACCCGCAAGTCAGATCCAAATTGTGGTCTGTTACACAGCAACTAGTGCTGTTGGAGCATTGGCCCACCCTGCTCTCCAAATACTCCGCCCCAGGGACCCATACCATGTTTTGCAGAGCATCAGCAATGTATATTGCAAACTTCAACATCTCTCCCTGGGGCATTTAACTGAAAATTCTCTGGTTGCTGTTTAGCAAATCAGGCCTGATATATCTTCCATCAACCACTATTCCACTTTTACGCTCACACCATCTAGTAGGCGTTTGTTTCAGGCAGATTTTGGCGTGTGGATGAGTGTGTCAGATCGCAGATTGGTGCGCATTATGGGTACTTGGAGCAGAGCCACAGAATCAAGCTGCATTCAACTCGATGGCCAAGCCACGCCCCTCAATAAGTCACTTTTTATGCACTGTTATTTTATCTATTACTGTCTGCGCACCTGCATATATTGTTTTTTATTGTTCTGGTGATCTATATATCAGAGTTCCTTGTAGGTTGCAGCCCCTATGTGTTATTGCTTCAGAACCTGCACTTTTATGGTAACACTGGTTTTTAAATTTGCTTGTGCAATTCTAATCCACTTTGTATTTTATCTCTGGAATCATTGACCCCAGTCCAGTGTTCTTGATTATCCTATGCTCTCCAATTCTTTACTTTCATCCGTTTCTTGCTATCCTTATTTTTTCAATGGACTAGATTATATACCGATTACATTAAGCCCTGCCACTCTAAGGTCTGTCAATGCATATTTCCATAGTAAAATATACTATTGCCTCTTTGTTTGCATGTTGGGGTAGTTCCTTGACATTATGACAAGGTCATGGACCCTGCAAACATGGAGCATCAAATAGTGTTTATCCATTTCATCAATATGGCATAGTCTCGTGGTCATTGCCAACATGACCTCTGTTTAGTATGGACTTTTACTTTCTTTGATTTGGATCTCAAGACACTACCCTCATATAGGCTCAATGCCAAACCTGTGAGGAAAATGGAGGTTAATCTGCTTGCTTGGAAGGAATTCTGAGGTAATAGGAGTCTGTTGCACTGGTTTCAGTGAGCCAAGCAATGCACATATTAAAGCAGAAAGTTTTCATGTCAGAACTCTAAGACATACACAACTACTGACCCAAAAGAAAAGTATGCTCCAATATGCTCAAAATCATATGAATAAGACACATACGTTTTTTTGTTCTGTGGAGCGATGAAACAAAATTGGAACTTTTCAGCCCAATGGATCAGCGGTATGAGGAAGAAGAATGAAGAAAGCGCTGAAAAGAACACTCTGCCTACACTTATGCATGATGGATTCATTGAAGTATCAGAATATCCTAGGAGAAAACCTAATGCCGTCATGCATCATTGGATCCCAAGAATACCTCAAATTCCACCACGGCTTGGTTGCAAAAGAAGTCCTAAAAAATTCTACAGTGGCCATCACAGTCACCTGACTTGAACCCCATAGACAATTTCTGCTGGGATTTGAAGAAAATGGTTGCAGCATGCAAACCCAAGAATATTACTCAACTGCAGATCATTGCTCATGAGCAATTATTATTATTATTACTCGTATATACAGAATATTCCGTAGGCTAAGATTCCTCAGGAATGCTGCCAGAGGCTGGTGTCTGGCTATTTACCTGGTTTGCAGCAGGTCAAACAGTAAAAGAGGGCTCTACTAAGTAATAAAGATGCTTGCCATGAAGGGGTTTCATTTTGAGACTGGAGAAGTCAGTATAAGTTGCATTTTCAGTTGAATTTGAGGAAACCAATTGAAGCATTCATTGTGATCAGCATTGCAAATGCTTTTATTTTATTTGTTCATTGCAAACAGCTGAAAGCATGTAAATTCTGACAATAGACCTGATTTTCAATGGGGGGGTTGAATAAATTTGATTACAACTGTAAGCCTATTCTCTGTAATATTCATGAACGTTGATAAGGCAAAAGAGTAGATTACTAATATACTACGAAAGACAAAGCTAAGCTAGGCATTGTAAAGATGTCTCCAGGCATTTAAGAATTAACAACTATTTATTAATAAAGAATAAAATAAGGGATAAAAAAAAATTCTGTACAACTTCCATATTTGCATTATGCGGTATTTGCAATTATATTGGGC